AAAAAAAAAAAAAAAAAAAAAAGAAGTAGAAACTGTCTTCAGGGGCTGTCTTCATACCTATAATCCTAGCACTTTGGGAGGCCAAGATGGGAGGATGACTTGATCCCAGGAATTTGAGACCAGTCTAGGCAATATAGTGAGATCTTGTCTCTAAAAAAAATTAGCTGAGCATAGTAGTGCATACCTGTAGTCCCACCTACTTGGGAGGCTGAGGTGAAAGTATCACCTGAGCCCAGGAGATTGAGGCTGTGGTGAGCTGTGATGGTGCCACTGCACTCCAACCTGGGTAACAAAGTGAGACCCCAACTCAAAAAAAAACAACAACCAAAAAACCCACAAAAAACAAAATTGTTCAGGCATTGATTTTTCTATATAGAGCTTTAAAAGACCTTTGTGGATCAAATTAGATATTTCTTTCTTTGACCCAGCTCTACATTTTGTGTATATTTCCATAAATTGTATATATGTGTATTTTTAGGAAATATGAAAAATTAGAAAGATATAGAGATGATTAAATGATTCATAATTTTACTCCCTCTGATATTGTTAATGTTTTATCACATTTTCTTCTTGTTGTTTCTTGTTTCATGCTGTATTGCAATTGTAGTTGTATCTTCATGTACCTGTTTCCTGTATGGGAATGTAAACACATTGAGGACAGGGACTATTTCTTTTAAATATGTGTCTCTAAAGCTCATCTGGCAAATAGTACTCAGCTAAATGCTGAGCCAAATGAATAACAAAAGAGCAAAAGGAAAAAAATATGTTGAGGACAAGTCCCATGGGACATTTTAAGCCCCTCTTTGTCATCAGAATTGTTGAAGGAGCTGTCAGAGTATCCACTGGATGTGTTTAATCTGCACATTATCCCCAAGTGTATCTGATAGATGCATATCCGGAAAACCTTCATTGTGTTGCATCAGACCTAATGCTAAGTTTATGTTAGGGACAAACTTTTCCCCTGCTGCTCATTAACTGCTTGCTATGATTACCAATGAGCTTTCCATGATGTTCGCTGGTTTTCAACACCCTTTATGCTTCAGCTACTCTAGCCAGGGAAGAGATCTCCCTATCGGGTCCGGGGCTTCTCAGATGAAGGTGGCCCTGCTGGCCAGCACCTGCATTAGGATTTGACGTTGTCCCTCCCACCACTCAAAGGTTGTTCTCTCCTTTTGGTTTTGTAGAGAAGGTGGTACAAGACAGAAAACGAGTACTACTTGCTGCAGTTCACGCTGACCGTCCGCTGTCTGTACTACACCAGCTTCAGCCTTGAGTTCTGCTGGCAGGAGCTGCCAGCTGCACGCGCCTCTTACTCCTTTCCCCGGATGCTGGCCTACGTCTTTTATTATCCAGTCTTCCACAATGGGCCCATCCTCAGCTTTCCGGAGTTCACCCAACAGGTAGTACCCACTGGGGTTGGTTTGGTATTGTGTAGATTAAGCCTCTGTCCCTGTTGCTGTGGTTACCTTTGTGATTGTTGGTCATTTCTATGACTCCTTTTAATTAAGTGTGCTCACAGATTTAAAACACAGTTTCCAGAAGTTTTTGCATAGTAGATGAAATTCTTAGGGGAAGTGAGCCTTCAAAATAAAAGTTGACCTGTCTCTCCTGTATGTTAGCTCTTGGGGCCCCCACTCTGATTCTCAGCGGACTGTGGTAACCAGGGCTAAGAACTGGGGCATAACGAGGGACTTGGTATCCACTACAATGAAGTCCCAGGGAAACGAAAAATTTGGTTATGATGGTATATCAGTCCATTTTGCATTGCTATGAAGGGATTCACAAGGCTGGGCAATTTGTGAAGAAAAGAGGTTTATTTGGCTCACAGTGCTGCAGGTTGTTCAAAAAGCATACCAGCCTCTGCTTCTGGTGAGGCCTCAGGAAGCTTACAGTCATGGTGGTAGGGGAAAGGGGAGCAAGCGTGTCACATGGTGATAGAGCAAGAGGGAGGGAGGAGGTGCTAGCCTCTTTAAAACAAAAAAAATTTGTTATAGGAATGTGGGGTACAAGTGAGGATTAACTACGTAAGTAGACTATGGGCAGGTGAAGTTTGGGCTTTTTTTTTTTTTAAGAGATGAGGTCTTACCAAGTTGCCCAGGCTGGTCTCGAACCTGTGGGCTCAGGCCATCCTCTCACCTTGGCCTCTCAAAGTGCTGGGATTATAGGCTTAAGCCACGGCGCCTGGCCAAGTTTGGGCTTTTAACTGGCCCTCATTCCCCCTGGTAATGAACCAAGTGCCCTTTATGTTGTCACATGTCCCTCACCCTCCTCTCTCCCTCCCTCCCCTAGCAGTGCCCAGTGACTGCCAGTCCTCCCTTGTGCTCATGTGACTAATAATCAAGGATCACTTATAAGTGAGAACATGTGGTGTTCAGATCTTCGTTTCTGTAATAGTTCACTTAATACAATGGCCTCTAACGCCATCCAATTTGCTGTGAAGTCCATAATTTTGTTCTTCTTTATGGTTGTATAATACTGTATCATGTATGTGAATCACATTTTCTTTATCCAGTCCACTTTTGTTAGGCAATTCGGTTGGTTCCGTGTTTTTGTTATTGTGAATAGTACAGCAATAAACATGAGTGTGCAGGTGTCTTTTTTGTAGAGCAGTGAATGTTCTTCTTAGTATATTTCCAGGAAAGGGATCGCTGGAAGGTTAATTTTTAGTTCTTTTAGTAATTGCCACACTGCTTTCCATAGAGGTTGAATTAGCTTGCACTCCCACCAACAGTGTAGAAGCATTCCCTTTTCTCTGTACCCGCACCAGCATCACTTGTTTTTTGACTTATTAATGAAAGCCATCCTTACTGGAATTAGGTGGTTTCTCATAGTAGTTTTGATTTACATTTCTCTGATGATTAGTGAGGCTGAGCATTTTTTAATTTGTCTGTTGGCTACTTGTATATTGTCTTTTGAGAGGTGTCTGTTTATGTTCTTTGCCCACTTTTTAATGGGGCTGTTTGTTTTATTCCTTTCACTTTGAGTTCCTTGTAGATCCTGGATGTTAGGCCTTTGTCAGTTGCATATTTGCAAATATTTTTTCCCATTCTGTGGGTTGTCTCTTTACTCTCTTGATGATTTCTTTTGCTGTGCAAAAGCTTTTCAGTTTGATGACATCTCACTTGTCTATCAGCTTTTATGGCACTTGCTTTTGGGGACTTGGTCAAGAATTCGTTGCCTACTCTGATGTGCATAAGGGTGTTTCCTGTATTATCTTCTAGGATTCTTATAGTTTGCGGTCTTACATTTAGGTCTTTGATTCATTTTGAGTTGATTTTTGTATATGGTTATAGGTAGGGGTTCAGTTTCATTCCTCTGCATGTGGCCTGCTAGTTTTCTCAGCACCATTTGCTAAATGTGTTCTCCTTTTCCCAGTGATTGTTATTGGTAGCTTTGTTGAAGATAAGTAGGTTGAGAGACTGTGTTTTTGCCTCTGGAATTGCTGTCCTCTTTCATTAGTCTATGTGTCTATTCTTGTATCAATACCAGACTGCTTTGGTTACTATAGCCTTCTAATAAAGTTGAAGTCTGGAAGTGTGATGCCTCCCACTTTGTTCCTTTTGCTGAGGATTGTTTTGACTATTCATGCTCTTTTCTGCTTTCATATGAATTTTTATATTGTTGTTTCCAGGTCTGAAAAAAATGATGTTGGCAATTTAATGGGTATTGCATTGAATCTGCAGATTGTCTTGGGTAGGCTGGACATCTTGACAATATTGATTATTCCAGTCCATGAACATGTAATTTTTTTATTTGCAACTTCCTTGATTTCTTTGAGCAGTGTTTTTTAGTTCTCATTGTAAAGGTCTTTCACTTTTCTGGTTAGGTGTATGCCAAGGTATTTAATTTTTTTGTGTGGCTGTTGTGAATGGGATTGTGCTTTTTATTTGGTTCTCTACCTGCTTGTTGCTGGTGTAAAGAAATGCAACTGTCTTTTGTACACTGATTTTGTAACCTGAAACTTTATCAAAGTCATTTATCAGTGTGAGAAGGCTTTTGACAGACTCTGTAGGGTTTTTAAGGGATAGAATCATCATCTGCAAAGAGGAATAGCTTAACTTTCCTCTTTGGATACCTCTGATTTTCTTCTTTTGCCTGATTTCTCTGACTAGGACTTCAGCACTGTGTTAAACAGGAGTGGTAAGAGTGGGCAGCCTTGTCTAGTTCCATTCTTAGGGGGAATGCTTCCAGCTTCTGCCCATTGAACAAAATATTGGTGTAGATTTATCATCGATGACTCTTACTGTTTTGAGGAATGTTCCTTCTGTGCCCAGGTGCTCAAGGGTTCTCATCAAGAATGGATGCTGTATTTTGTCAATTGCTTTTTCTGGGCCTCTTGATATAATCATATGGTTCTTGGCTTTACATCTGTTAATGTGCTGAATTACGTTTATGGTCTTGTCAATATTGAACCAGCCCTGCATCCCAGGAATGAAGCCCACTTGGTCATGACAGATGAAAACTGTTGGATCTGAATTGCTAGAATCTTGTTTTTGAATCTGTGTTTATCAAGGACATTGGCTTGTAATTTTTTTTTTTTTTTGAGTTGGAATCTTACTTTGTCACCCAGGCTGGAGTGCAGTGGCACACTCACAGCCATTCCAGCATCGACATGTTGGGCTCTGGTGATCCTTCCGCCTCGCCTTCCAAGTAGCCAGAACTACAGGCGTGTGCTACCAAACCTGGCTAATTTTTTTTTTTTATTGTAGAGAGGAGGTTTTGCCAAGTTGTCAGGGCTGGTCTTGAACCCACGGCCTCAGGCAATCCACTTGCCTCGGCCTCCCAAAGTGCTAGGACTACAGGCTGAGCCACCAATCCTGGCCGACTTGTAATTATCTTTCCTTGTTGTGTCTTTGCCAGGTTTAGGTTTCAGTATGCTATTAGCTTCATAAAATGAGTTGGGGAGAATTCCATCATTCTCAATTGCCTGGAATACTTTCAGTAAGATTGATATCAGGTCCTCCTTGTACGTCTTTTAGAAGTCAGCTAGGAAGCCATCTGGTCTGGGGCTTTTTTTTTGGCTGGGAGATTTCTTATGACTGCGTCTATTTCCTGGATTGTTATCAGTCTGTTTAGAGTTTCAATTTCTTCTTGTTTCTACCTTGGGAGGTTGTGTGATGTCAGAAAGTCCTCCATTTCCTTTAGGTTTTCTAGTTTATTTGCATACAGTTGTTCATAGCAATCTCTGATAATTTTTGAATTTCTTGAGGGTCAGTTGTGACTTCACCTATTGCATTTATAATTGTATTTATTTGGACTTTCTGTCTCTCTCTTTTTTTTAAGTCAATCTGGCCAGGGGTCTGTCAATCTTATTTATCCTTTCAAAGAACTAGCTTTTTGTCTTGTTGATCCTTTCTATAATATTTGTCTTCTGTATTCTGCAATGTGATTGGTGATCTTGATTCTTCTGCTGAAGTTAGGATTTAGATGATCTTGTCTTCCCAGCTCCTTTAGGTGTGACATTAGATTATCTACTTGTGATCTTTATGTTTTCTTGATGTGTGCATGCAATGTTATGAATTTTCCTCTTAACATTGCTTTCATGGCATCCTAAAGATTCTCATAAGATATGTCTTTGTTTTCATTTGTTTCCAGGAGTCTTTTTTTTTCTTTTTTCCAGGAATCTTTTTTATTTCTGTCTTGATTTTGGTGTTGATCTAGAAGTCATTCAGCAGCATGTTATTTAATGTCCATGTCTTTGTGTGTTTTGGGTGGGGGTCTTGTTGGTAGTGATATTTACTTTTATTTCACTGTGATCTGAGAAGATGCATTTATTGTTTTGATTTTTAGAAATTTACTCACACTTGATTTATGTCCAAGAATGCAGTCAATGTTGGAATATGTTCCATGTGTTGATGAGTCGAATGTGTACTCTGTTGATATTAGGTAGAGTGTTTTGTCGATGTCTATTGAATCTTTTTGTTTGAGTGTTGAGTTAAGGTTCTGAATCTCCTTGTTGGTTTTTTGCCTCAATTATGTATCTAGAGCTGTTATGGGGTATATAGGTCTTCAAGTATGATTGTGTGAGAGTCAATGTCCTCTCTTAGTTTACTTAGTAGTTGTTTTATAAAACCTGGTGCTCCTATGTTGTATGCATATATGCTTAATTAGATATTTCTTGCTGGTGGGTTGAGCCTTTTATCATTATGTATTGTCTTTCTATGTCATTTTTAACTTTTGATGGCTTGAAGTCTGCTTTGTCTGATATCAGAATAGCTACACCTGCTCTCTTCTATTTTCCATTTGCCTGAAAGACCATTTTCCAGCCCCCAACTTTGAGCCTATAGTTGTCCATTGTAGTGAGAAGAGTGTCCGGGAGACAGAAGACTCTTGGATCATATTTTTTTATCCAGTTTACCACTCTATGTCTCCTCAGTGGCACATTTCGTCCATTCCTGTT